AGGGCTAGCCTCCCACTAGTTCGAATTAAGGGTCTACACAGCCCTTAATTTGAACTAGTAAGTTCGAACTAGGCTTAATCCTCATGGAATGAGGATTACCTAGTTCGAACTAAGCGCTCCGTTAGTTCGAATTAAATTCGAACTAACGGAGCGCTAGTGTAGCGCCTATGAAAGTTAATTCGAACTAACGTCTGTTAGTTCGAACTAACTTTGTAGTGTAGACATACCTAAAAAGAACAAGATGGGAAAGGCTTTTAAATCATGTTATCCTAGCAGAAAATGCTGTAGCATCTGTAAAAATGATCACAGGCTCCATAATATTTCAGTAGAAATAAAAATATATGGAAAGGATATTGTGATTAAAGGAAAGTAACCAAGTTCTTGGATATGACTGGCCAATTTTTGGTCCAAGTACAATGCTTCTACTATATAAATTCTTGTACCCCACACATCACTGTAGTGGTGGGTAGAGAAGGATATGTAGAGTAAGCAGATATAGCAATTTTGGCAGGAATAGTTCTAAGGTAACTTTGAAATGAAGAATGTGGGTGATATCCCCATCCACAGGGTTGGTTTACTGATGCTAATTCTTAGTGACAAGCGGGCAGAGGGGAACAGGGAGGTGTTGAAAATTCATCAAATGTTTAAAAGAATCTTCTTGGACTAAATTCATGCCTCTTTCTCCAGAGACATTTGCATTATCAAGTTAAACTTGCAGAAAGTGAATTTTGAAATGCCGTATGGTATTCACGCTGCATGAAAGTATATGCTGGAAGTGCTCATCCAATTGTGTAAATGAAAATAATACTGCATGACTTTTCTAAAGAATCATGGCCCTTCAAAAAACCTTGACTAAGAAATACTGGGAATTTTGTACATCTTGTTAAAAAGTATGGGTTAAATATTTGCTGAATAATTTCAAATAATGGATGAATTCAAGGAAATCCCAATTTTTTTGTGAGTATTCTACAAACCCAATGTTTTATTAATTATGAATTATTTGCTGAGAGACAAACAAAATGTGATCCTAAATACATCCTTTCATTTAAGGATGTTTCAGTGCTTTAAAATCTGTATTATTATATCAGTTTTAGTTAGAGAAAAAGGTCTAAAAAGATTATATGACTTCTCTGTAGTCACCCAGCAAGTAAGTAGCACAGTAGTTCAATTGGTAAGTCCTTTCTCCCTTTCATCATCTAACCACTGATTCCCTGGAACTTTCAACAAATTATAGAACTATTAAGAATATTATGGGTTACAGTTCCAGGAACTTAGAGAAGAAAAAGCCAGCAGTAATACCTGATACATCAGTCTTGGGAGAGTCTCATACCAGAGGTTGAATTTATAGTTGAATTTATAGTTATATTTAAAGAATGTAGCTGGCTTATTTCTGACATCTTAAAGACACGTACTAAGAACCCCTATCCAAGTCAACTGTGGGACACAATGGGACTTAAACAAAGACTGCATAATGTTCCTGCTATGCAACCAAACCGCTAACTTTTCATTTTAAATTTAAAAGTTATTTTTAGATCAACGGTTGGTGCCAAGTGACATTTTCAAATATGACTTCAGTCAGTATTTACATCAGTTAACACAGCCAAGTTGGCTGCAACACGTGAAGAAGGATGTAGCTGGAGAGAAGGATGTAGCTGGTGCTAGGAGTATGGTTTGCCACTTCCATCTCAAAAGGAATGATTGAACTTATACCACAAGGCACAAATGGCAGCAATTTTAATTAATCCCCTTTCTAATTTGCCTGCTATCACCTCCAAATCCCATGTTTTTTTTCAAGATTACTGAAAAATTACTCAGTACAGCTCTAAAAAAATTTCCCCTCTACCTGCACATTCTATAAATAGCACAGATATGATTTTATAGCAATAACAGAGACCTGAATAATAGATTTCACAGTCAGGATCAGACTGTCATAAAATTTGATGTGTACAATTAAGCATAAACTTGAAGAAGAGTTAAATATAGGAAATGCATTGATTCCAAGTGTGCTGTAACAGCATGCATGATGGGGTGTTTACTCCTGCTCACACTGTGATACAGTAGCAACAAATCAACAATGCCAAGAATAGAGGACTGATCTTCTGTGGAGTTAGTAAGAGTTTTGCCATTTATTTCAGTAGGAGCAGGCTCATCCCTTCTACATGGATTTTCTTTCTCTGATTTTGTTGTATACCATGTCTTATTCTTTGAAAAAG